TAGTCAATGTGAAGATTATTAAAAAAAGTTTTACTTGCTTTTTTCTTTCCAAGCCTTCAGAATCTGAAATCTGGTATGCATCTTAGTCACGGCACATCTCAGTTTGCACATGTCACGTTTCATTCAAGTTGCTCCCCTGCCAGCTGTGGCCTGTGGCCCCCGGGGTGGACAGTACAGCCCTGGGGCCCTTGTCCCGCCCGGGACTAATGCCATGCCTTCCTGGGCCTGGTCTGCAAGGCCTCGGACAAGGGCCGGTGTCCAGTAGGCACACAGGACCTGGGGTCGCCCTCTCTCCTCCAAGGCCCCTGCCAGTGGCCACCTCGGAAGCCTCCAGACCTCCCCTCTCGGACACCTGGACGTGAGTACTCTGCCACCTCGGATTGTCCACGGATGGATGGCGTTTGCTGAGCCCCTACTGCGTGCGGCTGGTGGGCTCACGCTCACTCCCGACACGAATCTCGCCCATAAAGCAAACAGGGGCACTGACAGCGGCCCAGGGCGGCCACGTGAGTCAGGATTAGGGGCGGCCCCTATGCCTGGTCATGTCTGAGCGGCACATGATGGGCGGGACTCACTGTTCCATGGCTGCTCGGGGTGGGGGTCGGAGCCCGGTGCAGGTGGGTCCCAAGGACCCAGGCGGGGGTGGGGCAGTGGCTGCAGGGCAGTCCCTCTCCTGCACAGAACCTTGCAGTCCTTCCAGGCCACCACAGCACTCACACCCTGGGTTCACAGCTCCAGCTCTGGCCCCTCCTCCCGCCTCAGGCCTCCCCACCGTACAGTTCGCTGTTGAGGCTCCCACAGTTCCTGGAAAATACCATCTGCTTTCTGGCCTCTGGGCCTTGGTGCATGCTGTTCCCTCCACCGGGAGCCCCTTCCTTGCATTCACCTCCAGGCTGGTCTGGGTCACTCCCTCGGGTCTCAATTGACCCGTCACCCTGCCAAGGAAGCCCTCGCCAACAGTCCTGATTGAATACGGGGCCTGTTGGAAATACCCTGTCCTGCTCGGGGCCCCCGGGGGCCCTGGGTTTCTAACAGACATTCCTGGAATACAAGGTTCGCCCCTAACTCTTGTGCGCCCCCGCCCCCATCCCACAGCAGAAGACAGCCGAGTTGGGGGCACGTTCACCGCCACCCCCAAATTCATTTCCAGTTAATAGAAGAAGCAAGTCAGGAGGAGCCTGAGCCACAAGCCTCATTCAATAGATGAGGAAATAGGTCTGGGGCAGGCTTGGGTGGCCAGAGGGTGGAGGCCCCCAGGCACGAGGGGACACCATGTCGGTGGGGGGAGGCCTCGTGTGGGCCTGGACTCCTTGAAGGCAACAGAGCAACTGGCACCTGGAGAGCCCCAGGCAAAGCCAGTGCAGGGTCATCACAAGGAAGATCTAGCTTAGATGGAGTAGTGAGCTCCGCACCCCTGGAGGCACAGACGCAACAGCACCAGGTGCTGGGAAAGGGATTGAAACTTTGTACAGGGCTTGATTGGCCCCTATAAGAGGTTTCCCTTCTGCTCTCAAGATTTAGGCCCAAGGTCACAGGCAAAGCCCAAAGGGGGCCGCCCCACCCACCCAGGCCATTCCCCCTCTCAAGGCCAATCATTAATTGGCACCGCTTGAGTGACTGCTCCCACGAGTGCCCCCCGGCTTCCTGCCAGCTCATGGCCCGGCTCCCATCCCATGCCCGGGCCACCCGCATGCCTCTGACAGGGGTTGGCCTCGCTGCCCGGGCCCACTTCCTGCTCGTGACTCCCAGCAGCTGAGCCCTGGGAGGAACAAGGTGCCTGCTCAGACCACCATCACAGCACCTGGGGGACTCCTGGTCCTGCTCCCAGAGCCCTCCTGGGTGAGGATGGCCAGTGGGAGACGTCGGCCTGGGTGGCAGTGAGCCTACCCAGCAGGGCAGAGCGCAGGGAGGGCCCGAGGCAGGTGCTGAGCGGGCCTGGGGCTGAGAGATGCGGGAGGACGAAGCACTGGGATGTGACTGGGCCTGGCTGTGGTCAAGGAAGAGCCAGGCAGGGGCGGAAACGCTTCTCCCCGAGGGAAGTCAGATGTGAATCAGCAGAGGGGAAGGGAAGGGCCTCCCAGGGTGAGAAACAAAGTCCCAGAGGAGGGAAGGGGCCAGGCGCCTCAGGGGGAGAAGGGAGGCCAGCCACAGCTGAAGCCCTGGCTCTGAAAAGGAATGGGGGGCGGCAGGGGGCACGTAGGGCGCATGAGACTCCAAGCTGAGGAGTTAACTTTATCCTGGGCAATAGGGAGCTAGTGCAGGTTTTAGAAAACGGGAGTAACATGGCATGGCCAGGATGGGGTGGGAGGCAGGAAGAGGGCTGACAGCTGCCAGAGAGGCAGGCCCTACAGTGGCCATGGGGCAGAGCGTAGGGGTGGACAGCGGAGTGACACCAGGCTTCTGCTGAGACGTCTGGTTGGTCAGGCGAAGGGTGGACACGGGAGATTTAAGCACCAAGATGCTGAGCATGTTGAACCAGAGGTTCCCGCGGGTCGGCCTTGCTGCGCGGTCCACAGGGAGTGGCCATGGTGGTCTTGGCCCCCAGGGAGAGCCAACTGGAGCGTGGGGGGCGGGGGGGGGCTGAGAGTTGCCGCAGAGACGCAAGAGGAAGCCCAGGCCAGCAGGGCCCAGCCAACAAAAGGGTCACTCAGCCACAAGCAGATCACTAACGGCCTGGGCCCTCCTGGTGGGGGCCGGAGAAGGTGAGAGATGGGCACAGTGGGCGTGGACAGCTCTGCCGAAATGTTTGCCGAGGAAATGCTCATGGAAGTGAGGGGGGTGTCTTAGGAAGGCGCCCCAGAAATACAGCTCCAGACTCCTGATGCCGAGGTTGTTCGGGGCACAAGGAGCACCCAGTGCAGCCCCACCTCGAGGCAGGGGGGCGGCCTTAACACTCCCCGCATCAGTCCGTCCTTGGCTGGGGCTGCCCGGCCTGCGGGCAGAGCTGTGGACCCTCCCAGGCCCCTGTGGGGCTGAGGGCTCGTCTCCAAAGAGGCACAGGGTGAGCTGATAGCCACGATCCTCACAGCCCCAGGGGCTGCGTAATGCTCAGTAAAGGTAACCCAGAAGGGCACTGACAGCGTCCACTGGGGGGGCCAACACCACTCTGGGCTTCAGACGGTCCATAAGGTGCCCAACATTTACTGGGGTACGGATGGTGAACCTCCTGCCTGGGGCCCAACCCTGAGGAGAAGCTCGGAGTGACCACGTCTCTCTCACCACCTGAGTCTCATGATCTCAAATAAAGTCCAAGCTCCCACCCCTCTGTCAGGCCAGGACCATTTCCACTGCCCGTCTCTCTCTGCACAGTGAGGCAGCAGGGATTTCCAGACAGGAGACCTGGGTGTGAACCCAGCTCTGCCACGTGCAGGCTGTGTGGCCGCAGGAAACCTTACAACTCCCCTGGGCCTCGGTTTCCTCAGCTGTGCAGTGGGGGTACTCACAGCTGCCTCGGAGCCCCGAGTCTCAGGGGCAAGGGGCCAGACAGACCAAGCGGGCCTGGTGTCAATGCCCTCCCAACTCCCTGGATGAGTGGGCAGCCTCGCCTCCCCAGTTGGCACCTGCAGGGAGAAGCTGCACTTGGGTGGTGGGGCCCCAGGGAGGGGCGGGGCCCCCTTCCTAGCTGTGCCAGGTGCCACCCACGGGCTGCTCACCGCACAGGGGCCCCCAGGGCTCTCCCCACGCCACCCCCAGCCCCACGCCAGGCGTTCCAAGCCCTGTAGAGCTCTGCCTCTGGCCTGGGTTCCAGCAGCTGTGGCTCCTTGCCTCTCTGGGACCGGAAGGACATGTTGTGCCCACATGTTCAGCAGCCCATCTGTGCCCAAAGGCTGGGGTCTGAAACAGGGCACGCCCTGCATGCCTGGCGCTGCACCCCTAATTACTACTTTCCCCCATCTAACCCTCACAATCGTCTGAACAATTCCTCATACCTCACAACGGTGTGACTATTCCCACCCTCACTCATTCAATAGCAGTTTTTTGAGCACCTACTGCATGCAGGCACTGAGAAAGGCACTGGGGACTCAGAGGAGGGCCTGCTCGCTCAACGCTCATGTCACAGACGAGGAAACTGAGGCCCTGAGCAGCCCTGAGTGCCCTGCCCAAGGTCACACAGCTGGATTCAAGTCCAGATCATGCTCCAGAAGACTCACTTTTCCCTTTAAGCCCCTCTCTGGGCCTCAGTCTCCTTGCTTGTAAAATGGGCACAATGGAGTCTCCCCAGGGCTGTGAGAGGACTGTACACAGTGCGGTGGGGCACAGCCAGCAGAGATCTTGCCGCCCCTGCCTGATGTAATGCGGCGGCCGCCCCTGCCCTTGGAATTGGAAGCCCACCCTTTCCCCCCATCCCGATTCCACCTACACAGCCCACCCATCTGCCCTCCAGCCAGTCGGTCGCACCCCTCCATGCTCCCACACAAGTCACAGCGAAGCAGCCCTTTGCTCACAATGTCCCCTCTGTCTGGAATCCCTGCCACTCTGGGGATCATGGCTACAGCACTTCCCATGGGCCAGGCATCATTTGCATCAAGACCCCCAACAGCCCCATGCAGAAACGACTAGCGTCATCCCATTTCGAGGTACAGCAGTGGAGACACAGAGGGACAAAGGTCCTGGGTGCACACAGCAGCTTGGCGGCAGCAGGGGCACCTCCAACCCTGCACCGGACTGGATGCCACCAACTGCCCAGCTCACGTCCCTGCCAGGATGACATCCCCAAGCCCCACATCCCAGAGGGAGGACCCTCGTCCACTCACACAGGCTGGCAGCCATCGACACTGCCCTTGTCCCGGATGCGGCCGTGTCCCAGAGGGCCAGGCCAGGTCTGAGTCTCCCTGGTGTCCCAGGCCCCCACCTAGGCCAGGGAAATGCTGGGCAAACACATTGGTCAGAGGCAGACAGTGCAAAACGGCGAGCGTGTGTGGCCTGGCCTGGCTTTTGGCGGGTGGGCGGGTGACCGAAGCTGGATGATGGGGTCCCCGCGAGCCCAGAGGCGCCCTTACCTACTCGGAGCTCTTGCCCGAAGACGGTCTTCTCACCGAGGGCGGAGCAGTTCCAGCGCCCAAAGCGGAACTGGTACTGGCACTCGTTGATGCCCATCTGTGCCCCCTCCCCAATCACGATGATGGCATCGGGCCTGCTCTGGCAGATGGCGCGCTGCCGCGGGGCCAAACCAGGAATCTTGTTGCAGATGATGTTGGCTCCCAGGGCCACGACGGACGACAGCGCTCTGCGGACGGAGAGAGAGAGGACGGTGAGTGTGAGTGGCACTGACCACCACACGCCCACCACACGCCAAGCTCTGCCCACCAGGGGACAACACACAGACCCCGGCACTCCAGGGGCCACTTCCCATGACCCCCACGGGTGATCCTCGCTTCAAAAGGCACACACAACCTTGAAATCGCAAGACCCATGGGATCACAGGACAAGTCCCACGAATTAAGTAAGAGTCCCACGGAGCTGAAAGTGCCACAGAAGGCCAGAACCATGGTCCTCTGTGCCTCTGAATCAGATACACAGACCCTTTGGGGATGTGGCAACCATCATCTCAGAACAGTGCACAGCTGCCCGCCGCAGCAAACCCCAACTCCCAGAACTGGGGCTCCCCCATCCTTATAAACCCGGCTCCCTGGGGGTGGGGGTACCTGGGCCATCTAAGCCGCTGAACAGGCGGCCGGGCTGGGAGCCAAGCCCAGTGGGTCCCAGCTCCACTTACAGCCCGTGCGTGACCTTGGGAAAGCACTTGGCTTCTCTGAGCCTCAGTTTGCACCTCCATGCAATGGGAGTATAAAACTGGTCAATCGGTCATCACCACCACTGCAGAGGCTCAGACCAGGGAGAGAGGCCGCACACATGGGGGACAACTGTTGTTATTATTCACTTATTCCTGGATGACGGGGTGCACGCAGAGGAGGAAGCAGGAGCTGACATGAACTGAGCACCTACTGTGTGCTGGACTCGCAGGGCGCTTCACCACAGCATCATCCTCAGAGCAGTCCCCTGAGAGCGCCCAGTAATTGTCCTCCGGGAACTGAGGCCCGAGACAGGAGGGCCCTGCCGGGCTCCGCCTCCCTTGTCTTGAGCTGTTATCAGGGTGATTGTTTGTTTGATGGGGTGAAATTTACATAACATAAAGTCGAACATGTTGAAATGTACAGTTCCGTGGCATTTGGTACATTCACAACGTTGTGCAACCACCTCGCCCAGGCCCCAAGATATTGTCACGGTCCCGAAAAGAAACCCCGTGCCCCTTAGCAGTCACTCCCCATCCTCCCCTGCCCAGTCCCCACAACCACTAATCTGCCTTCTGTTCCTCTGCATTTGCCTGCACTGGACTTTTCCTATCAATGGAATCATATAACATGTGGCCTTCTGTGACGGCCGTCTTTGACTTAGCACAATGCTTTCAAGGTTCATCCATGTTGTAGCGCGCACCGGTACCTCGTTCCTTTTTAAGGCCAAATGCTGCTCCACTGTCTGGAGCGACCACACTGTGTTTCTCCATCTGTCCCTGATGGACAGTGGGTTGTTTCCACCTTTGGCTGCTGTGAATAGCACTGCTATGAACATGTGTGGACAAGTTTTTGTTTGAGTTCCTTTTTTTTTCAGTTCTTTGGGGCATATACCTAGGAGTGCAATGGCTGGGTCACAGGGTGGTTTGTGTAGCTTTTTGAGGAACCACCAAACTGTTTTCCACAGAAGCTGCCCCAGTTGGTTTCAAGCACCTAGAGAAGGCACAGCAAGCTGGACGGAGGTAGGGAGGTTTCGGCAGACCTCCGGGCAATGGCTAAGCTTCAGAACGGCACCTGGCTTCCAACAACAGACCGGTGGCTTAGTGAGGGGCAAAGGGTGGGAGTGGGGGAGACCACGAGGGGCTCCCCAAAGCTGATGCCCGTGGCCCTGGCCTCCTGCACAGCGACTTGCCCCCTACTCGCCGCCTGCCAGCCTCCTTCTTGAGAGAAACGAGTCCGTGTTTTTCCAGGGTGACCGAGCACCCACAGCTAGCTGGGGAAGTCCCCATGTGGCATGAGCCCACAGCACGTGCTGCGACCAGGACGCCCAGCCGACACTCAATCCCCATGGCCCGCCCTCCTCACCCGCTAATCTGGCCAAGACCCCCCTGGGTCTCCCACAGGCATAATGAGCAGAAACGTGGAGGCTGGCACGGAGGAAGAGCATCTGGGTGGGTGGGGCTGGGAGCGGGCTGGAACCTGGGGAATTCAGCCCAGAGTAATTGTAGACCCTCAGAAAACCAACTGGGGAAATGAGATGGAGGGGATCCTGTCGGGCAGCAGCCTCCAAGCCACAGGTCAGAGCCCGCTTTGGCGCCTGGACACGAAAAGCATGCTCTCCGTTCCCAAAGCCTTCCAGCAGGCTCAGGCTGCAAAGCCCCCCTGCCGGGGGCAAGAACTCCAGCTGGGGGCAGGAGTTTGGACAAATGGGATCTGATTGGGGTGACCCCGCTGAAACTTGAGGTGGATGCTGGGAGATGAAACAGATCATTGTAGCCCTGGTCTCCTGCCTCCAGGCAGGCCACCTCAGTCCCGATGCCAGCACCCCGGTCTGACCATGTCACTCCCCTGCTCCAATCCCGTCCATAACTCCCCAGGCTCCTTTGCCTAGAATTGGAGGTCGCCTGGGATCTGGCCTCCGATGGCTCTGCCATCTTTGCTTGTGTTGGTCCCTCTGGCTAGGATGCTACTCTCCCTCCCTTTTTCTGTCTGCAAATGCTATGCCCCCTCCAGGCCCAAGTGCAAGCCCCACTGGGCTCAAACCGCTCAGCCCCAGGCACTGAGGATGCGCGCAGTAGGCACTTGTCTCTCAAGCACCAACCTCACCCCTGGTGTCATAGTCATTGTTTCCATGTCCAGCTTTCCCCTGAGACTGCAAGCACCTCAAGGGCAGTGCCCAATCTCAGCTGAATTTGGGGCCTGAGTCCTGCCCCGCAAAGCTGTCTATGAGTGTTTGTGGAATGGATGTATAAGTGAACAAATGAGTAAATACTCAAGGATCACTTCTAAAAGGGTCCTACCACTCAGTAACAAACAGGTAATCCAATATGCAAAAATGGGCAAAGGATTTGAATAGACATTTCTCCAGAGACGACATGCAAATGGCCAACAGCAGGTGCAAAGATCCTAAACATCACTCACATTAGGAAAATGCAAATCAGAATCGCAGTGGTGAGGTGCCACCTCACACCTGCTGGGTTGGCTGTGATCAAAACGATGGAAAACGGCCTATTATTGGTGACGCATTGCTGGTGGAAATGCAAAACGATGCAGCCGCTGTGGACAAGCTGGGAAGTTCTTCAAAAAGTTAAACACTGAATGACCATAGGACCCAGCAATTCCACTCCTTGGTATATATCCAAAAGAAGTGAGGACAGGTGTTCAAACAAAAACGTGAACACACATGCTCACAGCAGCACAATAACCAAAAGGAGGAAGCAACCCCAGTGGTCGTCAGCGGGTGCACGAATGAACAGAACGTGGTATCTCCACACAGTGGACTGCTACTCAGCCATAAAAAGGAGTGAAGTACAGACACAGGCGACACACGGATGGACCTCAAAAATGTGGTTAAGTGAAGGCAGCCAGACACGAAAGGACCACCCCTGATGCCGTTTATCTGAACCGCCAGTGAAGATAAATCCACAGAGACAAAAGGTAGATTAGCGGCTGACGGGGGCTGGGGAGAGGGGGGCTGGGGAGCGCCTGCTTAATAGGTGTGGACTTTTCATCTAGGGTGACGAAAAAGTTCTAGACCTAGATAGGGGCGGTGGCTACACAACACTGTGAATGGACCAACGCCACTGACTTGCGCACTTTAAAATGGTTCTAGTGGCAAATTTTATGTTACGTGTCTTTTAACCACAATGTTTAAAAATTCTATCTATGCACAGGACTTCTACACCCCAGCCACAGTGGGATTGGGGGGAGGAGACGAGAAGGGCCTGGCCCAGCTGACACCCCACTTGTACTCACAGTGTGCTTCCCCGGGTGTGGCGGGCTGATGGAGGAGGTAGAGGGGAGCCCCAGTATCAGTGCATGGATTAAAGGTGAACTGTAGACATCAGGGAAGAGAGTTATAGTGTATTTTGTGCCAGGAGCATAAATAGATATGGTTGATAATTCAGGAATAATTTCAAAATTGTCTTCCTTAGAATGCAGGGACGTTCCCCCTAACAATATAAAAGCTCCCATTCTGAGCACCAAGCTTGGACACCCGGTCTCTGCAGTATCTCGGTCCTTTGCTGGCAAGGTCAGCCTTGCTCTCACCATTTACAGGTGTGCAGACTGGAACTCAGCGAGGCTAGGGAACCTGCCCGAGGCCACACAGCCAGGCTCAGAGCCCGGTCTACGCTTCCAAAAGTCAGGTGCAGGCAGCACGGTGGCTCAGAGCACTGCACATAGTAGGTGCATAACAAGTGCTAGAAGACGGCCTAGAGCAGGAAACCATGCCCACTTTTCATTTTCAAAGCACAGCTTACATCCTTCCCTTGCTTAAAATCCTCCAGGTCGCTCGTTAGTTCATCCAGGTTTACGGACACATTCGTTACTGGCATTTGAGGTCGGCTGATGGGTGTCAGCTGCCCTGTCCTCCCCTCCCCCACAGCCTGCACATGCCCGGCCAGTCTGACCACTGCCCTCCCAGGGCAGGCCTGGCCACACCACACCCCAGGTCTTGCCCACGCTCTTCCTCCCGCCTGGAGGGGAGGGGGCTGCTGATAGGGGCGAACGGCTTGGCCCTCATTAGGAAACCGTCAGAGTGGGAAAAGGGATAAAAATATATAATAACTAAATAACTGGTGCTCTGGAGGAGAGAGGTGGGTGGACGCAAGCAGCATCCTGGGATAATTGGCAGTTTGGGGGTGAGGGCATGCTATGGCACTCTCATCAAGCCGCCCCGCGGTGGAGGGGCGCCCGGCTCTCACCCCAAAGTAGGAAGAATCTTCTGGGCAGCTTCCCGGCCTGCAGCCGCCCGCCCAGGTGTCCGGGGAGAGGCTGGCAGGGCGGTTCTGAGTGGCCTGTGCGCTCAGAGAAGCTGGGCGGGGCACTTGTATTTCAGTCACTGACTTTTTCCATGGAAAATTCTGCTCCGGGCTCATCCTCTGTGCTGTTCAGGGGCCTCGGGACACAGGCAAGATGCCAGGAGCAGTGGGCAAAGCTGAAAGTCTGGAAACTTTCCTCGCCCCTGGCCCGGGCCAGTCCCAAGGATGGAGCTCAGAGAAGGGGTTTCGGGCCCTGCCGACAAGAGGCTCCTGCCTCGTCCTCTGCGGACTGTGGACAGGGCCTCTGACCTCAGACCAGAGAGTGGGGGGGCCAGCGGAGGGCCTGGCGCTGAGGTCAAGACGAGCACCGTGCCAGAGGGGGCTGCTGCAGGGCAACAGGAAGATCAAAAGCTCTTCTGTGAGCGCCATCCCAAGGGGACAAGGGGGTTCCAGTCGGGTGAGGGGCGAGGTGACCACTGCCATGTGACAGATGGGTGCAGGAATAGCCAAAAGGGTGGGACCTCTGCTGTGGCATTAGCCAGGGACCAGCCTACCCACCTGGCAGCCCTGTGGGGCAGGAACATGGGTGCCAGCGCTGGCCTGCTTGGCTGGAACCCTGGCTCTGCCTCTTCTTAGCTGTGAGACCTCCGGCAAGTTTCTTAACCTTTCTGTGCCTCGGTTTCCACATCTGTGAGATGGGAGTAAGAACGGGCCTGACACGTCACACTGCTACATAATGCAAAATACATAGCACTTCGTAGCTGGCCTGTGATGACAGTCATCAGTGGGGGCCTTCCTTAGTCCTCATGGCCTGAGACTGGGGGACCATTACTGACCCTCATTTGTTGAGCCCCAGGACCAGCTCCCTGGTGGGGATCAGGGACCAGTGATGTCAGTCAGGGGGTGCTGATGATGGAACCGGCAATTCTGAAGTCCATGGGCGTCCACATCAGCTGCCGCGCCCACCCCCAGTGGGTTCTCTCCTGAATCAGCTCTGCCCTTGCCCCAGCATTTCATTCTGGAGCCTATACACCCAAGAGAAACGAGTACTTATCGTCACCAAAGACACACACACGTTTCTCCATCACAGACTGGAAACAACCACCCAGGTGTCCATCCCAGGAAAATGGCAAATAAACTGGTACGTTCACACAGTGGGTGCTACAGCAATGAGCTGACACACGTCCACGTGGGTCGTTCGCCCAGACACCCCTGAGCACAACAAGCCAGGCAGAACACACGCTCTAGACCGAGTGAAACTCCCCTTAAGACAGAAGTCAGAATAGAGTCACCGTGGGTGGGAAGCACTCACTGGGAGGGGTCCCCAGGAGCCTGCTGGGTTCTAGAATGTTCTCTATTCCGAGCTGGGTGGTGGTGTATGTAAAAATGCATCCAACTGTCCTCTTGAAATTTCTGCACTTACTTTGTGTAAGTTACACCTCAGCAAAAAAGTAAAATGTTGAAATACACAAATTTACAGGGCTGGCAGAATAAGGCAAGACTGAAAACACTAGGCTTTCTTACAAAAATTAAAATATAAAACACTTAAGAGATAAAATGTGAACATTAAAAATCATTGCCGTGTGTCTTATATATGTGTGCCCAACCTTAGGGGGTCCTGTGGGCTGGGCCAGCCACCCGCTCCAGGCAGAGCTCGACCAGGCAGGAGTGCAGCCCAAACCCAGGCTCTCAGACACCCCGGGATCAAAAGGCATTCTGAGCCCGGTCCTCTGAGGGTTGCCCACATGCCCACCCTCACCCCTGCCTGGACTCGGTCCATAGATGCAGCCAACCTGTCCCCACCAGGCCCTCAGCCTCTGTGAACCCCAAATAAAGCAAACAGGCTGCTTTCGTGAAAATCAGGGCAATGAAGAGAATGGGGACAGGAGACTCTGGGGCCTGTGGGGGTGGAGGTGGCCCTTCATGGGTGGGGCTGTGACAGGCAGTACCTTCCTGCTGTCAGCCTATGTCTGGCCCAGCACTCTCAGGGCCAGTATACAGAGGTGCCCACCTACTGACCGGCCCTCTGCCCTAAGGAGTGGGGCCCACCAGCGGGGCCAGGCCCTTGCGGGCAGTCTCCTCCCAGGGCTGCCTGAGGCCTGGAGGGGACAGAGCTCTGGGCCGTGGCCACTCTAGCTAAGACCTATATCTAGGCCAAGCCCGACCCCTGCAAGGCCCAGCCTGGGGAGCTCCTCGGGGCAGCACCCCTGCTCCAACATCCTTGGGGAGCAACATCTGAGCCTCCTCACAGTCAGGGATCCTGAGGCCCAGGGAGGGGTTGGATGGGGGAGCCAGTGTGTCATGTACACCCAGGATTAGAGCCATCCTGTCACCCCCGTCTCTGTGGGGGACACCCCTATTTCATTCAGGAGGTAACTACCCAGCAGCCAGGAGTCTAACCTAAATGCCTCATGCTGTTGAGTGCCAGGCGGCTCAAAGCAGAGTGAACACCTACGGTGTGCTGGATTCCAGGCTAAGAGGTCCCCTCAGTGGGGAGAAGTGTTACAATAATAATTATTATTCCCTCGGAATAGGAACCAGAGGTTCAGAGAGGCCCAGCCACCTGCTGAGTAGCTCAGAGAGGGAAGGGGGGGCAGCGGGATCTGGGACCCACACTTCCTGCCCCCGGACTGGTAAGTGCCTCATCTCCCCTGTTCCTGAGCCTCAAAGACAGTTGGGGGGGTGGTCGCTTGTCCAACTGGAGAGCCATCCTCCCCCATGGGTCCCTAGGGGCAGGGGGCTACATGTGGAGCCAAGCTGCATTGCCCCCCCTGCCCACCCACCCCCGCGGCCGCCCCAGGCTGGGTCCTGAAGCAAAGAGGCCCCAACTTGAGCCAGGCTGGAAGGAGTCCCTCAGACCAGGAGCTGAGTTACGACCCCTTCAGACACAGCTGCGGGGGAGGCCTTACAGGGACAGGGACCCCGGCTCGTGCAGAGAGCAGGAGGATGCAGCTGGGACATCCTCAGTGGGGATGGGGGACTGGGCAGGCTGCGAAAGGTCGTCATAGCACACCCCATTTTCACTTAGACTGTTACTGGTAGATGAAAACCGGCTTTATTCCCACTTTACGTGTGGTTGAGAAAACGTCAGCCTTCCCTAGGAAGGCCCAGCGCTTCAAGTGGTGGGAGGCGGGCAGGTGACGGGAGTGTGGGGACAAAGCCACCCCAAAGTGCCCTCCATAAGGCATCGATCCCCAGCATTGCCAGTGACAGGACAAGCTATCTTTCTGTTTAAACAGCCAGAGAGAAGCGGTGTCATTGCCAGCCCAGAACCACGTGACAGAACAGCCTGTCAGACCCAGGGGAAGCCTCCCGCCATCTGCTCTGTCCATGGGGCCTGAAATCGACGGCCACAGACGTGGCCGGCGGTGCATCGGTGAGGCCGCAGGAGCCGGGCACCTCCACCTCAGCGTCTCGCTTTTCCCATGAATTCCCCAACAGCTGGCCCCACAAACCACAGCCCAGGAGAGGCGCCCCAGTACGGGGGCAAACGGTCCCACCATGGCAGGGACCCCCACCCACCTGGCCCCAGCTGCCCCTCTGAGTCCTTTCCCTGGACTGAGCACCCATTCTAAGGTAACCCATCCCCCACCATCAGGTTTCTGCATTGTGCAGCCCCAGCCCCAAACCAACCCCAGGATCCTGGCAACGTTCCCCAGGCCAGGGCCAGGGCAGCACTCCAGGGGAGAGACCTGCCCCCTGCCCCGCCCTCGCTCGCTCTCCACAGGTGGCACTACCACTCTTACCACTCTTGAGAAGGTAGCCCTCTGGGGCCACCCTGACCACCGCCCCCCCACCCCCGCTCCTCCCACCACCAGCAGGACAGCGGCCTCAGGGCCTGAGCTGTCAGGGCCGTGGGTGTCAGTCCTGTTGGCCGCAGGCACATTCCTCACGGCTCCCTCTTACCCACAGCACTCTGGGTTCTGTCTCTGCATTTCCGCCCCAGGGTCCACCTTCCAGAGACATGCCCTCCTCCCATCCACTCCCCTCCTCACTGCAGAGAGCCTCTCCGGGGGCGCCCCACGGAGCCGGGACTGAGCAGGACACCCTCAAGCTTTTCCTAACGCCATTTTGGACAGGACCTGCCCACCCCATCTGCTATTTGTTCTTCAGGGCAGGGATCCCCAGCATTGCCTGGCACCCCACTGGGCCCTGAGCTAGCCTTGGCTGTGAGCCCCAACCCCAGCTCACTGGGAGGTGGGGCTGAGCTGGCCAGGCTGAGCCACATCCCCAGCCTCCCTCTGCCCATCTCTGGCCCCAGTCCTGGCTGCCCAGCAGCCCAGCGCTCCTCCAGCCCACACTCCCGGCCCGGGGCACTTTGTAATTCTTCCTTCTTGGGCATCCTCAGGCAAAATATTTGAAGAATGTTCTAATTGTATGCGATCCGCCAGGGAGGCGAGCCTGGGTCCACTTGTCCAGGAAGTAACTCGGCAAATACCTGAGAGGGAGGCACCTGGCCTCCACGCCCACCCAAGGCCACGTCCTGCCAGCCTCTCCCTCTGCAGCCCAGCAGGATCCCGTGGGGCAGCCTATGAGGTGGGGGTCATGATGGCTTGTGTTCCTGCCTGTCAAATAAAGATAAGAATGTCTTCTAGGTCTGGGGTCACTCTGCAGACCCCCCCGAACCACTGTCATGGTGCCAGAGGTTGGTGCCAAAATGGGTCCTCAAAAGTGTCCTCTGTGGAATGGAACAGGATAGAAGGGAACGGAACGGGTCAGAGCTGGATGCAGCTGGTGCAAAGGCCCGGTGGCACTCAGACCACCTGTCCTTCCTCTGGTTTTCCATGAATCTGTTCATCACTTTCCCCTACTGGAGTTCTGGGCCCAGCCCGGTGGGGGACATGGGCCTTGAGGACATCCCCAGACCTCGAAAAGGCCACCCCAAGGCTACCTCAGTTTTCTCATCTGAAAATAGGGGACAATCAGCCCTCTTTGGGCAAATGGCTTCTCCCTCGACTGGCCTGGATGGGAAGGACCTGGACCTAGCAGGGCAGCAGTAGAGGGGCCGCATGCAGAGGGCAGGCACGCTCGCAGCCCAAAGGCCATCTGACCTGTTCCCTCACCAGCCCAGACACAGGATCTGTACTTTGGGGGAGGGACAGGCCTGAAAGGCCACCTTCCTGAGCGGCACCCCACAGCGGCTCTTCAGGGTGGGCCTCAGCAGCCCGACTTCACAGGTGAGGAAACTGAGGCTTTGACAGAGCACTGGGCGGGGTGGTGGCTAGGGACGAGGGTGTCCCAAGAGGAGGCACAGAGAGGCCTGGAAGTGGCAAGGGCTCTGCTGGGCAGTGAGGGCAGCGCCCTACGCCTCCCTGGCCTCGCTTTCCCATCTGCATAGTGAGAGGCTGGTGCTGCAATCTAGACATCTGCAGCTGTGTCCTAAAGAGAGTTCTCTGGGTTTGGGGTCCTGGGTTTGATTTCTGCATGGCCGCTGACTCTCCCTGGCCCCTCTGAGCCTCAGTTTGCCTCTCTGTCCAATGGGGAGAACAGCCCCTGCTCCCAGGCAGGGTCTCCTGAAGGCTGACGCCCTGCACCGTGGGGCCTGCCCGCTGCAGTCTTTCCAGGCCACTGCTCGGCTCAGCTCGCTGCGCGCCGTGTTCCCGGGGAAGAGAGCAGAGCGTCCGCCTGCTCCCTCGCGCCCCCGGCGGGCAGCCGCCAGCCCGCCCTCCCCACATAGTTGGCATTCCTGGCCTGGCATCCTGGGACCCCACCCTGGAGAGAAATCAGGCAGCCTTGGAGAAAGCAGGCAGTGAGCAGGGGGTCTTTGGCAAGACTGAGGCCACTGGAGGTGGGTAAATACAGCCAGGAGGTCCTCCGCTCCCATGAGCTGGCACAGGGAGCTCACAGCTAAGGGGCCACAGGGAGGTCATGGCTAAGGGAACCCTCCAGCCCCCGCATCTGCTAAATCTGTGAAATCAAAACCTCACCAGTCACGGTGACCCCAACGCATGGACCTCTGACCTCAGAAACTTCCAGACCTCTGATGAGCATTCATGGCCCATCAAGACGCGCCTGGGTTCAGGCCACACTGGACCAGTAATTCCCCCTCCCGTGACACCCTGCCCTCTCCAGGCGCCAGGCAAGATAGCTTGATACCTCTTCCCCCAAGAAGCCTGCCTGAGTTTCTCCTCTGTCCTCCCTCCCTCCTGGCATCAGCCGCATCTACGCCAGGCTCCCGGAGGCCACGGGGGGCTGAGATTCAGTAGCACCTGCCTAGCCAGGCCACACCTCCTGAACCTCTTGCTGTGCCCTGGAGCCCCCGCGGGCCTTATCCCCCTGACCTTTCTCCTGACTTCCCATGGCACAGATGGGGACACCGACGCCCAGAACTGCCACAGTACCTGAGGCGGCACAACAAGTTGAAGTTCAAGCAGAAATGAGACCCCAGGCCTGGCCTTGGCCTTGACCCTGATGCCCCAGATGCTGTCAGACACGGGGGTGGGCGCCTTGCAGGCCTGGGTAACCAGGATGTCAACCTGAAACCTCAGGACAGATGAATGGACGAACAGGCGGGCGGAACAGGTGGGAGGAAGCTGGCAGGACCCGCTGGCCCACAGCCAGGCCCCGGCCGTCCTGGCCCCTCTGGGCATGGTTTGAGTAGGTTTGGGGGCCAAGACCCTGTGGGCAATGGATTATGAGCAGTCACATCTGTGCAGACTGCCAGGCGGGGCCGAACTCCGGCCAGGGGACTGAAATTCAGACCAGCGTCCTTGAGGGCTCCCTTCCCAAGACCAGGTGAGGGTGGGCCTCCCTGGGCCACGCAGCATCTCAGCATAGGGGCCCAAGCCCTTCTAGGCTTCCCCCCAGTTTTATGGTCCTCTGCTCTCACCAAAGCTGGGGACCTCCTCTGGGTACAGCTCCCTCTCCACCCACCTCACTTTTTAAGCAACCCACTGCCCTGGGATTGCCCTTCTGAGAATTTCTAGGCCACCAGGGCCTCCCAGCCAACTACCTTAGCTCAGATGCCTCGAGAGACAGCCGCTCCACCCCTCAGCATCCTGGCAGCACTGACCTCAACGGCGTGGTCAGCGCTTGCTGGGCCAGCACCTTCAGAACACTTGCCTGGCTCAGGGGCCCCAGGGCCCTGCCCGAGGTGGCCTGAGCACCTGAGCATGGCCCCTGACTTTGCACCAGAACCCAGTTAGAGGAGAGGAGCAGTATCTCGTCCAAGGCCACGCAACCACCTGGCAGGGGTTCAGAATCAGAGCCAAGAGCAGGACCGGCCCTGGGTCTGTCTCCCCACTTCCGGGCTCTGCCCAGGTCTGTTTCCTCAGCATTCGTCCACTGCCAGCTGCCCTCCCCGCCCCTCCTCCCCCTGAAGGAATCTCCTCCCTGGAAGGGAGGCAGCCCAGGGGAGCCAGGGGTCGCTCTGGGCTCACACTCAGACTTGGCTGCAAACCCCGGCTCTTCGCACCTCTCTAGGAGGGGCTGGCAAACAAGCATGTGGTGGCTGGCCCCTGGGGGCAGCCGGAGTCCCCCTGCAATGCCCACTCCTGGGGCGGGGGCTAGACAAAAAGGAGGACTTCCCTAGCAGATGGAGTCATCACACCTTACACCCTGCCTTGCTCCTGGAGCTGCTAGAAAGGACATCAGGGATCACGGGGCTGGGGTGTCCACCCCCCTACACATCTCCAAGAGCCACAGCCTGCAGGGAAGCCTTGCCCGGTCACACAGCTGGCAGGTGGGGTCTGAGACAGAGGACAGATGGGAGCTCTCGGGCAGCTCACAGCCCTCAGCCCAGTGTTCGCCCCAAGACACCGACTGGCTGCAGCCCCCATCTGGCATTTCCAGAGCCAGTGTCCCTGGGATCCCCATGCCCTGTGTGATGAGCCCAGAGGCCGTGTGCTCTGAGCTACTGGGGACAGGATGAGCAACCAGTGCCCGAGGCTGCTGACTCCCTGTCCAGTTCTCCCGTTACATCTGCCTGCCCAGCCAGCCCTGGGCTCCCGGCCTTGTCACCTCCCACCCAAGGCACACTCTTTGGGCACCCTCCCCAGGCTGGCTGCCTGGCATCCCAGCCTATTTCATGGGCCCGAGGCTCAGGGCGGTCACCCTGGGAATCTAGGCATGCCAAACACCATGTTCCACCCCCAAAACAGGGCCCCCAAGGGGTAATGACTCTGCTGGGCAGTGACGAAGGCTTGGTCCATGGGTACCACCAGTTCAGCCCACTGTAAGGCCCGAGGTGGGCGGATGGGCACAAAGGACAGGCACCAGGAAGATGGGGACATCAAGGTGATGGATCTAGCGCCTTCCGGAGGGGGCGTGTCAGTAGCACCTGGAAATCCCCAGCGCTCCTCGCCAATACTGAAGTCAGCCGGGGAAGTCATCTAGCCCCCCAGCTCACCCCTGTGCCCAACTACACCCACCAGGGGCCAGCACGCCTGGGGCCTGGAGGCCTCTGCCACCATTGGGCAGTGGGCCCTGACCAGGTCAGTGGGCCTCACTAGGCCCCTGACAGATGAGCGGTCATCGGACCCTCCAACACATGTTAACTGGGCCCCCACTAAGTGCCAGGTGCTGTGCTGGGTGCTGGGGGTGGGGGTAGCGAGCGGCCAATCTCAAGACCACAGGCCTGGCCTTGCAGAGCCTACATGCAGACGTTACGCCCCTCCTGTCTGTGACCCCATTCAGCCCGCAGATCCTGCCGGGGGGGAAATCGCCCCTGCCTGCAGCCCCCAGCCCCCGTCCATCCGCGGCCAGCGGCAGGAGCTGCCCTCTCTCGTCTCCCGCCACCCACCCCGCACCCA